CCAGCCAAATCCGCAAGCCATTATAAGGGACAATTAGCTAATATCTACATGAAATCCAGGGAAAGGATCTTAGATTACACCGAACGCGTAAAGGAATTAAAACAAGCCATAATCGAGGCGGAAATTAAGGAATCGGGAGAATTGTCAGATCATCAACGGAGACGAATTGAGTGCGAGGTACTCGACGCACTAGAGAATGGCTTGCCGGAGGAATATGAGTTACGGATGAAGCATGAAAGATATCACGACTTAACGACGGCGGCCAACGCCCTTCTAAGAATAAGTAGGGCCCTAGAGAGAAACAGAGCTCGTACCAGCAAGGAAGAATCAAGGGAGGCCCCTAAAATACGTGCGATCACGAGCGGAAAGATTATTTGCACAATCTGTAAGGGGAGCGGTCATATGGCAAAGGATTGCCGAATCAGAGGGAGACCACCAACCTTTTCGGAAATCACCGCAAGGCCTTCCTCTCCTCGGTCAAAAGACCAGGTACTAAATGTAGCTTTAAACAATAGGCCATTTAGCCCACGTGAACAGCGAACCTGCTACTATTGTAAGAGAATTGGCCACATTTTAAAGGATTGCCGGAAACTTAAGTACGATAGTGAACATAGAAGTGGGGATAAACACCACGCGTATAATTCGGGCCGTCAGAGCTCGGAGGATAGGACAAGAAGCCGCCGGAAATCGACGGAACATAGACCACAGTATAGCCAAGGCAATGACCGCCGGAGTTCGCCGCCAAGGGCCATTAATAGGGAAAGAAGACACTCAACGTCCAGCAACCAGGGAAACCCTGTAAGCGGCCCGTCGAGATCAGACAGGAGCGGGGCCGCCATGGGAAACGCTCACGGACAATCCAATGCGCAGGCGACTCAATCAAACAAGTCGCAACAATAAATTATAAACCAACAGCAAAAGCACCTACCATAGTTATGGACATCGGGAACCATGGAAGACAGGTCAAATTCATGATTGACACTGGCGCAGAAGTTAACATTATCAAAGAAAGTGCTGTCGAATCGAATTACTATATCGACAACAACGATGTAATAAAGGTATGTGGCATTACGGACGACCATATTCGAACGAGGGGTTCATTGGCCGCCCACCTCTTTGGGAAAAAGGTACGGTTTTACGTGGTGGGATCGAATTTCCCGATCGAGCAGGACGGTATTCTGGGAAGTGAGTTCCTGAAAACAGTTGGTGCTGATGTAAGCTACACCCAACAGTGTATGAGGATCGCGGACAAGGAAGTACCTTTCACAGACAGACAATTCATGCGCGTATCGGCAAGGACGAGTACGGTGTTTCATTGCCGTGTCAAGAATCCCGAAATCGATGAAGGTTACATTCCACGGATAGAATCCTTACAGGGAATATACATGGGGGAAGCCATTGTTAAAAATCACCAGGGTCGGGCTTATCTCAGGGTGATAAACACCACTAATGAGGATCAGGATATCGTGATTCCCACGCTGGAATTACAAGCATTCGAAGCACATCAGGACAAAATACGAGATACACCAGGAACATCAAAAGAGGAAATAACGGTATGCGTCGGAACGATCAAGAATTGTCAGAAGAACCATGATCAAGATAGGCGGAGGAAGCGAGAGAACAATAATAGGGCAAAGGAGGTTGAAGCACTGTTACGTCTAGATCATTTGAACAACGAAGAAAGGAAGAGCGTCATTGACCTCTTATCTGTCAGCGCAGACTGCTTTCATCTCCCAGGAGAACAGCTGGAGAGCACACAGATGCTGACGCATAGAATTATTACTACCGATGAGATACCGATACATACCAAACAGTACAGGTTCCCACCCATACATAAGGAAGAGATAAATAAACAGACACAAGAACTGTTAGAGAGTGATATAATAAGGCCATCCCTCTCTCCTTACAATTCCCCTATCTGGGTAGTACCCAAAAAGGCTGACTCAAAGGGAAATCCCAAGTGGAGAATGGTTATTGATTATAGAGGACTTAATGAGAAGACTGTCGGGGATGCGTATCCCCTCCCTAACATTACAGAGATACTCGATCAGCTGGGTTCAGCGAAATACTTCTCTACCTTCGACCTAAAGTCCGGATTTCACCAGATCGAAATGCACCCAGATGATAGCCACAAGACCGCCTTCTCGACACCTCACGGGCATTTCGAGTTTGCGAGAATGCCGTTTGGATTAAAGAATGCTCCAGCCACCTTCCAACGGCTCATGGACCTCGTCCTGACGGGTCTTCAAGGCGAAGAAATGTTCGTCTACTTGGACGACATAGTATTATACGCAAGGTCGCTTCATGAGCACGAGATAAAATTTAACAAGCTTATAGGTAGACTAAGGAAGGCGAATTTGAAGCTGCAGCCTGACAAATGTGAATTTCTGAAAAAGGAAGTTATTTATCTGGGTCACATCATCGGCAAAGACGGTGTGAAACCGGATCCGAAGAAGCTACGTGCCGTAAAAGAATTCCCGCAACCAAAGAAAGCTAAGAACGTTCGACAATTCTTGGGACTCGCGGGATACTATAGGAGGTTCATCCCCGGATTCTCTAAGCTGGCAAGACCTCTCACAGAGTTATTAAAGAAGGAAGTGACATTTAAGTGGGGTGAGACACAGGAAATGGCATTCGTGACACTACGAGACACGCTGTGCAAGGAACCTGTGCTCCAATACCCAGACTTCAGTAGGGAATTTAACGTTACTACGGATGCGTCAGGTTATGCTATAGGTGGAGTGCTTAGTCAGGGACCGATAGGGAAAGACCTGCCTATCTCTTATTGTTCAAGACTACTAAATATAGCTGAAAAGAACTACTCGACCATTGAACGCGAACTCTTAGCAATAGTCTACGCCGTGCACTACTTTAGGCCATACTTATATGGCAGGCAATTTACGCTAGTTACTGATCATCGTCCACTGGTGTGGCTAAAATCCCACAAAGATCCTACTTCGCGTTTGACCAAATGGGGTTTGAAACTAGCCGAGTACGATTTCAGAATAATATACAAGGCAGGCACAGCCAATGCAAATGCCGACGCTCTTTCGCGAAATCCACCAGGAACGGCGCAGGTCTTGCCACTACATAGAGACGACAGCTCCTCAAATGAGTCCTTGTATTCTCGCAGGCCAGGCACACACGGATCTGATACAAGAGAGCTAGAGAAGCTCTTCGATCGGATAGACATAAGTAAGGTGCCAGGCAAGACGGAGGGTATTTGCTCAAATAATTCTCCTATCATTGCTGATAGCGATTCAGATTCCAGTTCCGATACTTTATTCGAACCAATATCGCGGCCATATGAATTGCAGAATCAGGAAGAGTACACATTCAGAATTTCACAGAATCTTACAGAAACTAGAGATAGATTAACAATGAGAAGGGATAATCTAGCTATCTTCATTACTCAGAAGGGCAACCCTTGCGATGAGGGTGCTAAACAGCTCCAGGATATGAATAAACTCCCAAATTACAAGGATTTAACTCTAGGTCGGGCAAGGGTCACTAAATATGGATCTAAAAATCTAATATCATTAGTCATTAAGGAAAATAATAATGTGATAACGGATGTAGAAATTCTGAATGATGCTCTGGAATCGCTCCTATCAGTGACAAGGGAACTAGATTTGCGTACGGTAAGCATCTCCAGCTCGAACAGAATAGATGACATACCATGGGAATATATCCAGCAAAGGCTAGGAGAATTATTCGACGCGGAAGATTGCACGATTTGCTTCTGTAAAAATTTGATTAGAATACCCAAGGAGAATGAGCGCGAGGACCTAATACGCGAAAACCATTCATCTGCTTTAGGGGGTCACAAGGGAGTGACCAAAACTTATAGCAGAATAAGAACGAGATACTTTTGGGAAAATATGAAAGGGCAGATTCAGACCTTCATACAGAATTGTTTGGATTGCCAACTGAAAAAGCTAGTTAGAGTCAAAAATAAGCAACCAATGGTGTTAACGGACACACCAGGATCTGCATTCGATAAAGTAGCACTCGACGTAGTGGGTCCTCTAGCCCAGACTGAAAAGGGGAATAAATATATTTTGACAATTCAGGATCAGTTAACAAAATTCTCTTTAGCCGTCCCTCTTGCGAGCACAACATCAATAGACATTGCCAATGCTTTAATCTCAAATTTAATTTGTAAGTTCGGAGCGCCTAGGGCAATACTCACAGACCAAGGATCAAACTTTTTAAGTACCCTACTACGAGCTATAGCACGTAAATTTAAGATAAAGCAGTACAAAACTACAGCTTTCTACCCACAGTCAAACGGATCATTGGAAAGGTCTCACCATGTCCTAATCGAGTACCTGAAGCAATTTACGGATAAGGAAAAAGATTGGGACGAATGGGTAGACACGGCTATCTTTTCATATAATACAAGTGTACACGAGGGAACACGATACACGCCCTACGAACTAGTCTTCGGAAAATTAGCTAGGGTTCCAGCCTCAGATCCACCTTTGGACGATGAAATGGACAGGACATACTTACAATATTACGCGAATCTAATAAACAAAATAAATAGAACACAAGAGGTAGCACGACAAAATTTGATGAGATCGAAGGAAACTTCAAAAAGGTATTACGACAAGAAAGCAAGACCGTTAACGCTAAGGGAAGGGGATAAGGTATTTTTACTGAAGGAACCTACTAACAAATTCGGCAACCAATATACAGGACCTCATCAGATTTTAGAAATACTCCCTCGAAATAATGTTAAACTATCAATAGGAAACCATACTAGGATAGTGCATGCTAATAAGTTAAGAATATCTAAAATGAAATAGGTTAAGGTGATTATTTTACAGAAACCATGGGGCTTCTCGGAATTTTAATAACAACCGTAGGAATCATCTCTGAATGTTACTGTTTGTTGGGGTACGACTGTGGGGGAGGATCAACCAACATCACAACAATTTCACTATTGGACACGGGAGAATGTAATATCCCATCACATGCACCCAATGCTACAGAAGTCTACATTCAGCTTCTACAATTAGCAGAATACGATTACACGCACGTACACCAATGCCGAGTGGAGATTGATAGAACAATTTATTATTGCGGAATGTCATCACATGTGTCAGCTGTTCAAAATGGAAGGCGAATATACCTGATGGACTTAACAGCTGAGGCATGCAAGGCCACGTTCAACACCGGTATAATGGGAATAACACCGACCCTGCAGGTATCAGGATTGCGGGCCAATGCCACCGAATATCGGAGTGCCACATTAGCAGGATCAATTTCAATGGACGGCAAGTGTTCGGGAACACAATACGCCGATCCGTACGGCACGTGGGACAATGTAGTGGTGCAAGCATCACTCAAAATTAACATCAAGGAATATTATGCTACTGTAAAGATAAGACAGAACAACGTGATTTTGAGCAAAGGAGAGGTGTGCGTATTTACGGATGGAATGTGCCTAACCGACGAGGAAGGAAATGCGTTTTGGTCGACCAGGCCGGAGTCGTCCTGTAACTTCGATAACTACAAGGTGCTATATGAAGGATTTGCGACCAAATTAAAAACCATGGGTAATACGGAAGTATACCCGGACATATACACCATCACGACTCAAGACGTTACATTCACCTTGGAAAAAAGAGCAGAGCATCATTTGTGCGGATATACTTTACTACTGAGCGAGCATCCAAAATTATTCATTCTAGAGACGCAGAAAGGAAGGACCTTTGCGTCAAAAGCAAAATTATCAGTCGAAAACCTCGATCTGTTCGCTTATGTTAACTCCAAATTTGTTTACCTCGAAAAACACATAAGAACGCAAATGACAGCCCTGTACAGCGACGTAATTAGGCAAAAGTGCGAACTAGAAAAACAGGTCCTTAAGAACGCTTTGGCATTAGCAACCCTCCGCCCAGATGAGTTCGCTTATACAATCATGAAGGCAGCTGGGTACATGGCAGTAACTGTAGGGGAAGTCATTCACATAGTAAAATGTACACCCGTCCCAGTCAGCATTAGGCAATCAGAAGAATGTTACCATGAACTACCTGTCACGCACCAGAATAACAGTCTTTACCTGACACCAAAATCGAGAATACTGGTAAAGACAGGCACCATAAAGGAATGCAACGCACTACTACCATCCATGTACTACTTGGAGGGGAATTGGTACAGACTGACACCGAAACCTGTGGAGGTACTCCCTCCTCAAACACTCCAACCATTAACAAAGCTAGCATGGAAATATATTAATACCAAGAACTTAATGACGAGCGGAATATATACGCATCAAGACTTGGACAACTTACGGGACCACATCATGTTCCCCGCAGAGAGACCAGGACTTTTAAATACAATTGCCAGAGGAGCGACAGGACACCGCATCCCACCTAACACTGTTTCGATGTATAACTTATTGGGAGAAGCAGACATCAACAAAATTACGGATAGCGCAATCTCGAAGCTGTGGCAAGGCTTTTTAGCATTTGGATCAGCAAGTGCTGGAATGATCGGATTATTTATCCTAGTTAAAGGCGTAAAATTATGTGTCGACGCCATTATCAGAGGATACGTGCTCCATACTGTCTATGGATGGAGCTTACATCTGTTAGGAGCCATCTGGAGTTCGTTGACGCATCTACTTCTTCATCTGGGACGATCAGATAAGCAAGACGGAAGGAAGACAACAAAGGGTGAAGGAAATAGTGATACCATTGAAGTAACGGTGGACGACACAAAAGATGATGCTACTCCGACACCCGCAACCAGAGGAAGTTCAAAATATCCGATTCTCGAAAGCATCCTAGCAGCTCGTAAAAACAAGTCGTCAGAAATAGAAATTTCCTAACGACTCAATTAAGGGGGGAGGTGTCACGTCGCCGTATAACGACGTGTGGTACCCAAGCATCTCTAGACATTAGTATATAGGATACGGAAATGCTAATCCCACTGTCGGTAATCATACTGTCTCTAGTTCTACTTTAGATAATCCAACATCGGTAATTCTGCTCTCGGAAATCTTCTGTAGGTTAATCTACAGTGGGTAACGCCATAATAATAATTAATCGCACCTCAGAAATTTTAACAAGAGATATAATTCACTATTATTATTAAAACGGGAACACTATTGTTAGATAAGGTTCACTTAATAAATAAAAAGAAAGAACATATGTCAAAATAAAAATTGTTAAACAAACAGAATAAAGTACATAGATAAGACCTTATATCTAGAAATTAACAATATATATATATATATGTATATATATATATACATATATACGTACACGCATAAAAACAGATTAATAATAGATTAATAGCGGTAAGGGACCTTATATTACATAATTATTAAGATGAGAATCATAATTAGAAAAAACAATAATTATATACTATTAAAATCCTCGCACACTTATAATGGCACACATTATTAAAAAATAATTATTAAAATAATAATGTTGTAATATTTAGAATATAAGTAGTAAAGATAGAGCGACAAGCCGAGACATTCATATCACGAATGGCTAGACTACATCCTGTGATAACCGCATTCCAGAGCTAAGGATTCCTGGAATTACGTCGGGTGATAATCGCATTCCAGAGCCTAAGGATTCGTGGAATTACATCCGGTGATAACCGCATTCCAGAGGCTAAGGATTCCAGGAACTACATCCGGTGATAACCGCGCCTGGGAACCGAGAATTCTGTGAAATGTATCTGCTGATAACCGCATTCCTGAGGCTAAGAATTCTCGGAACTACATCCGGTGATAAGCGTCGACTGGCAGCAATTCCCAGAAAAGTAACGAAGGAATGCTTGTACTACATCACGCCACTCCTTTCCCACGGGCAATACCCTCGCGTGCTGGCGGCAAGTCTGAGCGGCGCGCATGCGCAGCAACATCATTGGGGAGTCAACCAAGTGGGAGACCAGCGGAGCGGCAGCCAGTCTTCATCCGTCGCTCAATCCGATCAGCAGCAATACTATTAGCTCCGCGCTTAAGATAAATCAACTTAACATTGTACTTAGGAATTATAGACATATCTACTGGGTAGTTTTATTATTACGTCATACGATTCATAGGCAATTACGCCTTCGAGAGCGACCGTATGGTTAAACAAGTATAAGGGCCATAACGAAAGAATCTTTCTTCTCTCTTTCTACTGGTTAATTCGGGTGAAGTTGTAAATTAGTTACAAGTTAGAATAAATAAATATTACGCGTATCGCGAGTTCCGCGCACAAATAACTAATTCATGGTTTGAATCAAATGTTTTACCGAACTGTATATTTAGTGTATTTTTAGTGATATATATATATATATTAAATCGTTACTGTTAAATTGTGGTGATACTTTTCATTCATCTCGTTGTCCATCGAACTTCCCATCCATTCATCTAAAGAATCTGAGGGCGTTTGAATTAATATCTATCCAAGGGGGCGAATTCCAGTCCAGGATATACGGCAACCCCCTGATATCATTCATTGGTTGGAAAGTCTTGGCAGCGGTGGTAAGTCAGTAAAAATATATTGGCGCTAATATACATCAAAGGAGCGGACGGTTTTCTATGCGGCAGCCATTCTTCGAGCAACAGGAATCACTTGCTCTCAATCCCGAGTCCTTGTACCAAAACGAGAGGAGTCTGCGAGGTTGGAGTAGAAGGGTAGTCCTTGACCTGACCGTATTAGCAGCTCACAATTAAAAATTCTTTTTTTTTGTGTTTTCTCCCGTCTGGGACGTAACACAAACATCAATTTTATAGTGGAATCGAAGTTTTTAATATTGTTTCATTACGTATATACGATTTTTCGCTCATATACGCGTATCGACGAAAAATGAAAAATTGAAATCTCGTCCAATGTCAATGTTTTACATTCTATCGACGCAGAATGAAGAATATAACAAGAATATAACGTTTTCACTATGTGTAAATACGCGATATAACATGAAATTTGTCGAAAAATGTAATCGACGTATGCGAATTTCGGTATATGAGAAGATAAAATCGTCAAATCTATCTAAATACTTGTGCCACAGATTGAAAAATGTTACCAATCGATTCCGAACATTGCATTTCATAAGATCAAACATCAATTTTATAGTGGAATCGAAGTTTTTAATATTGTTTCATTACGTATATACGATTTTTCGCTCATATACGCGTATCGACGAAAAATGAAAAATTGAAATCTCGTCCGATTTCAATGATTTTACATTCTATCGACGCAGAATGAAAAATATAACAAGAATATAACGTTTTTACTATGTGTAAATACGCGTTATAACATGAAATTTGTCGAAAAATGTAATCGACGTATGCGAATTTCGGTATATGAGAAGATAAAATCGTCAAATCTATCTAAATACTTGTGCTACAGATTGAAAAATGTTACCAATCGATTCAGAACATTGCATTACATAAGATCAAACACCAATTCTATAGTGGAATCGAAGTTTTTAACATTGTTTCATTACGTATATACGATTTTTCGCTCATATACGCGTATCGACGAAAAATGAAAAATTGAAATCTCGTCCGATTTCAATGATTTTACATTCTATCGACGCACAATGAAGAATATAACAAGAATATAACGTTTTTACTATGTGTAAATACGCGTTATAACATGAAATTTGTCGAAAAATGTAATCGACGTATGCGAATTTCGGTATATGAGAAGATAAAATCGTCAAATCTATCTAAATACTTGTGCCACAGATTGAAAAATGTTACCAATCGATTCAGAACATTGCATTACATAAGATCAAACACCAATTTTGTAGTGGAATCGAAGTTTTTAACATTGTTTCATTACGTATATACGATTTTTCGGTCATATACGCGTATCGATGAAAAATGAAAAATTGAAATCTCGTCCGATTTCAATGATTTTACATTCTATCGACGCAGAATGAAGAATATAACAAGAATATAACGTTTTTACTATGTGTAAATAAGCGTTATAACATGAAATTTGTCGAAAAATGTAATCGACGTATGCGAATTTCGGTGTATGAGAAGATAAAATCGTCAATTCTATCTAAATACTTGTGCCACAGATTGAAAAATGTTACCAATCGATTCAGAACATTGCATTACATAAGATCAAACATCAATTTTATAGTGGAATCGAAGTATTTAACATTGTTTCATTACGTATATACGATTTTTCGCTCATATACGCGTATAGACGAAAAATGAAAAATTGAAATCTTTTCCGATTTCAATGATTTTACATTCTATCGACGCAGAATGAAGAATATAACAAGAATATAACGTCTTTACTATGTGTAAATACGCGTTAAAACATGAAATTTGTGGAAAAATGTAATCGACGTATGCGAATTTCGGTATATGAGAAGATAAAATCGTCAAATCTATCTAAATACTTGTGCCACAGATTGAAAAATGTTACCAATCGATTCAGAACATTGCATTTCATAAGATCAAACATCAATTTTATAGTGGAATCGAAGATTTTAACATTGTTTCATTACGTATATACGATTTTTCGCTCATATACGCGTATCGACGAAATATGAAAAATTGAAATCTCGTCCGATTTCAATGATTTTACATTCTATCGACGCAGAATGAAGAATATAACAAGAATATATCGTTTTTACTATGGGTAAATACGCGTTATAACATGAAAATTGTGAAAAATGTAATCGACGTATGCGAATTTCGGTATATGAGAAGATAAAATCGTCAAATCTATCTAAATACTTGTGCCACAGTTTGGAAAATGTTACCAATCAATTCAGAACATTGCATTACATAAGATCAAACATCAATTTTATAGTGGAATCGAAGTTTTTAACATTGTTTCATTACGTATATACGATTTTTCGCTCATATACGCGTATCGACGAAAAATGAAAAATTGAAATCTCGTCCGATTTCAATGATTTTACATTCTATCGACGCAGAATGAAGAATATAACAAGAATATAACGTTTTTACTATGTGTAAATACGCGTTATAACATGAAATTTGCAGAAAAATGTAATCGACGTATGCGAATTTCGGTATATGAGAAGATAAAATCGTCAAATGTATTTAAATACTTGTGCCACAGATTGAGAAATGTTACCAATCGATTCAGAACATTGCATTTCATATGATCAAACATGAATTTTATAGTGGAATCGAAGTTTTTAACATTGTTTCATTACATATATACGATTTTTCGCTCATATACGCGTATCGACGAAAAATGAAAAATTGAAATCTCGTCCGATTTCAATGATTTTACATTCTATCGACGCAGAATGAAGAATATAACAAGAATATAACGTTTTTACTATGGGTAAATACGCGTTATAACATGAAAATTGTGAAAAATGTAATCGACGTATGCGAATTTCGGTATATGAGAAGATAAAATCGTCAAATCTATCTAAATACTTGTGCCACAGTTTGGAAAATGTTACCAATCGATTCAGAACATTGCATTACATAAGATCAAACATCGATTTTATAGTGGAATCGAAGTTTTTAACATTGTTTCATTACGTATATACGATTTTTCGCTCATATACGCGTATCGACGAAAAATGAAAAATTGAAATCTCGTCCGATTTCAATGATTTTACATTCTATCGACGCAGAATGAAGAATATAACAAGAATATAACGTTTTTACTATGTGCAAATACGCGTCATAACATGAAATTTGTCGAAAAATGTAATCGACGTATGCGAATTTCGGTATATGAGAAGATAAAATCGTCAATTCTATCTAAATACTTGTGCCACAGATTGAAAAATGTTACCAATCGATTCAGAACATTGCATTACATAAGATCAAACATCAATTTTATAGGGGAATCGAAGTATTTAACATTGTTTCATTACGTATATACGATTTTTCGCTCATATACGCGTATAGACGAAAAATGAAAAATTGAAATCTC